ATTTGCAGTATTTGCAAATTGTATATCTTTCTCGTGTTTTAGGTATTCGTTTATGCTGAGGCATGATTCAGAGTTAGGTCTGAAGTCAATGCTTTTATAACTTTTACTTTGTTAATGTGTTACTTGTGATTATTTATACTTTTCATTGATAAATTATGAACAATACATGTTTGTGAATAAATTGTGACTAATATTTATACAATTATAATATAATATTGTTAAATAGAATGTTGTAGAAAGTTAAAGCTTTTTCTGGTTTGTTTCGGTGCCTTCTCATTTTGAGGGTGCCTTTATTTTGGGGTGATTAATCTAATTCTTCATTATTACTTGGTCAATTTGTAATGTTGCCAATGGTAAGTCTAATGGCCAGTAATCAATATTGTTTCTTTGTAATTCTGGTAATTGGTCGTTTGCAGGCTGTAGTCTTGCAAATATATTTTGTATCCATATAGATATATTAGTTGGTATGTCTTCTTCTTGTGACCGTGTTGCTAGAGTTCTTATACTATTTTCTATTATATTTCGGTAAAGTTGTTTATCTTCGTTTGTATGTACAGTTCGTCTTGTTGATAATGCTGCTTTTTATTGTGTACAAATAGTTTTTATTTCTAGAATTCTAAAGTGTAGATTGATCATCAATTAGAGGTGTAGTAAATATTAATATATTCAATTCTTCTTTGAGGTTAAAGTAGTCTTGGTATGTTTTGCAAATATATAGTTTTGGTAGGACTTTTTCTTGGATATGTTTTTTAGTTACTTGTGGTAGCTGTTTAATAAGAAATTGTATTTCTTGCACTAGTTCTATAAGTATTGTTGGGTCTGCTGAGTTATTATTTCCTGATACTGATAATGGTTGAGATGTTGCTTGGATTAGAATACATACAAAAAACTAAGGATAAAACACCTTATCCAGAAGACTAATTTCACCTTCAACAAAAGAACAAAAATATAGATATTTTAAAACAAAGGCAATCTTATAATATAAGACGAGACATCCAAAGAACATTACAAAACTTAGTCGACAGAATAAACCCAACTGATAACAAAAAACTAGGTGCAACTCTTAAAGCAATAGAACTAGTAACTATATTATCGTCACATATTACAAGAAGCCAAACTACATATAATAAATTACCCCAATTACAACAAGAAAAAATAATTATACAATTAACAGACATATATACATATTTAAAAAACTTCTTAGTAAATATAGATAAATTTGAAAAAGAAAGATTAATACCATTTGGAATAACAAACATACTCTAAACCGCATTAATAACTATACAAATATTCCTCCAAAGTGAAGGAATATCACAAAGTGAATACGAATCCTATTCGACAATAATATTCTATATCAAAGCAATTAAATAACAAAGCATTTTAAACAAATAACACGCTACTCAACCAGAAATACAACTTGCAGAAGTAACAAACAGACCAACAATAGAAAATCCAAGATACTATAGAAATATAGACGAAGAAGATACTGAAATACCTATTGAACAAGAAAAATATGAATTTCAAGAAGTATTTTATCATAACATCACGCAAGAAGAATATTACCAAAACTATAGGAATAGAATAGACTTTGTAAATAAACCAACTAAAGAACAAAGTACCCAATACGACCCTAATGACTTCCACAAGTCAAAATTCAACTATTACAATACCTTCAGAACAAGAAGCGGAAAACTTATTATCTACCTCCCAGCAAGAACAATCTACCTTCCTACAAGAACTTATTGAAATAGATAATAAACCTATAATTATATATGGAAAAATACCAAAGCTATATAACCCAAATTTCGACGAGCATATATTATCAAGAGTAATAAATCCACCAGATATCGAAATAATACAGAATATCCAACATAGACACAATCAACTACAACAAATAATTAAAACTATAAAACTAATCAAAATACCCTTATTAGAAGAAGAAGGACTCATACTTAAAAACGCATATAATAACCAAAAATATCTGAACCTCTTACAACTTCAAAAAAAATTATCCGAATTAGAAATAATACAAGAAGGACCTGACCAATACCTTTACAATAAACGATATACATCAATAAATAGTAATTACATTTTAGAAGCAGATGCCCATCGAACGTCACGACACTTTAAAGCAAAATTAAACGTATACCAATGAACAGGAAAACTATTACCAACCTAGAAAATAGACTACCCACCAGAAAACTATTAGATGAAAATTACCAAAAATCTAAGGAACAAATATTTAATTGAAAATTTAGAATATTATTCAGAATTATATTCTCTACGGTCGCATGACACAAAAATATTAAATAATAATTACCTAATAGGAAATAGCTTAATATTTGAACCAAAATATTATACGACGAATATCATTGGATAAAAATTAAAGAAGAAATATTAAGAACAGACAAACCTGAAAGACAAAAATACGATTCAATATATTATACTAAAAAACTAAAATTACAACAACAAGTAGAAGATGTTATTAACTACTACAAAACCCAAAGGAGCCTATATGCCCAGCAATTCGAGAAAAAACATTACACACACTTAACAATAGATAATCTAGAAGAATCTATTGAAGTATTCAACCTTACAAAAAGAATTATAAAAATACAAGATAAGCAACAAGTTACATTTGAAAAACTCTATACAAAACAAGAAAATAGAAACTGTGCTCATAAACGATACCTAGAAGAAATATTATTTGAAGAACTAAATAATATATTCAATGAACAGATACCCGAAATAACAAAAAGATATATAACAAAAATAGATACTATATATTATAACATACTAATACAAGAAATACAATATCTATCCTGGAATCACGGATTAGAAGCACATAATCGCTGTGATATAAATTCAGAAGAAAATCATTAATTCTATACATTTCAACTACTAGATGAAATACCACCATCCCACGACCTTTGAAATGGAAAAACACCAAAACATAATCCAACCTGGAAGAACTATCAAATTTGCACAAATAGCAATATTTGACTGGAACTTACAAGAATTACCAGTAATATATTTGTCCCAACGAATAAACCCTGATAAAAAGTATTACTCCTGGTATAACTTACCTGGAGGAAAACAAGACAATCCTGAAAAAACATTTGAAGAAATAATAATATGAGAAACTTTTGAAGAAACTGGAATACTACTTTATCAAGAAAAACTATTAGAAGTAGGCTACAACTGCTATCCACCTAGAAATCCACAAGGATGGAATGACAAAGTAACTGCAGAAATAAAAACATATGTACACCCTTCATATAACCAAACTGCAATGCGAATGGAACCAGAAACCCATTCCGACTGGAGTTACTTTACCAAAGCAGAAATAGATAATAATATAATACCTACACCTGAATTACAAATACAACTTAATAGCATATTTTATTCAATAGAAAATTACGATATGCTAATGCGACTAAAAAATGACAAAGAAAAAGAATTAGATTCCGAAGACGAATCACAATTCCAAGAACTCAATATACCAAAATTAACACACGAACAAATAGAATTATTAATACATAAACAATACGAAGCAATAACCCCTAAAGACATTTATCAAATGAAAATTTACAAAAAAGAACTTGTACAAGAAATATCAAAACTTAATAATATTAAACAACGAGTAGAACAAAAAACTAGAAATTACTCTAAACGAAGATACATCATAATATTTGACAAATTACAACAACCTTCAATAGCCGCAACACTAGGATCCATACCAACACTAAAAAGATTATGCGATACGCCCTCAGCGTATAACAGAATAAAATTCCAAACATTCAGATTTAGAATCGTACAAGACGAAGATCCTATTGACCAAATATTCGGCGCAATCAAAGTACGACCATTGACAAACTCAAAATATGTTTGCCAAGCAACAATAGAAGATTTAATAACAGCATACCCAAATTATGTACTAATGTAACCAAATAATTTGTAAATCGATATTACCAAAATTAATAAATACCCGGTAATACAATTCCGACCACTTCAAACTATGTTTGAGCCGAGAGAACCTTAAAAACTTTTGATACACGTAGTGGGACAGGTTATTTGACAATACAATTGTCTGAATGACTGAGGCGGAAGGTTTATTTTGACCATTTACTCATAACAATAACAAGTCAAACAGCATATCTTAGTAGGTCTAGGTTAATAATTAGACGATAATGGGTTTTAAGATAATCTAATGGGTTTTATGCATATTCATTAAATCCTTCTTACAGAATTGTGCAGAATAGACCCTCATTAAATCAAAACAATCACCCTAAGAATTCGTCAGACCAATAAAAAAAAATTAAACAATGGGTTTAAACTAAATTTGGTGACTCTATTCAGGGCCCAATAATCGAAAATTAGCCCATATGTATTAAATATATACAGTATACATTGACAAAATATCGATAGCTAATTCAGTAATTATGGTCAAATAATTTAATTCACACTAACATATGCATCATAAATTTAGGATATTGTAAAAATTTGCTGTAATGAGCGATAACTAAAGCTTACTAATCTTATTAGTTTTTTCCAATCCGGTAATTTCACCTTCTGAATCTTCAATAATTAAACCATCAATTTTTTCTGCTATTTCTTTTGCTGCCTGTTCAATTTTTTCTACAACTTGTGGACTGGTTTCTCTAGCCAAAAGACTAACTACAACCCAAGCCTTATCCCTAGTCAATTTTGGATAACTACCAATTTTTATTCCAAAATCTTTTAATTTCTCTTGATATTTGGTTAAAGTTGGTGCGATAAATGATTCGGGTTGATAGGTTCTAATGAACCTTCTCACAAATATTTCTCCTCTTCCTTTAAGATACTTGCGATATCCTGATAATAATCCTCTGAATAAACTTGGAATACCGGGTAAAATATGAACAT